ACCCAACAATTCAATGTGATTTCATGGAAGCTGGGAAGGAAGATGCAGTTGTGGCTTTACTGATGGTGGATGTATGGTCACGGTATGTCTCAGTTGTACCATTGAAGCCCAGAAACACACAGACGGTTGGGAATGCGCTGGTGAAGTTTCTTGGTGATGTTGGACGTGTGGAGCGTACAGAAATTGCAGGGGACAATGAACCAGTGTTGGTGGCTGGAATGAAGTTTTGCCAGCGTGCAAGACAGCAATTGGGTCTGGAAACAATCCTGACTTTCAACAGGACCTACGAGAAGACAAGGACCAGTGTTGCTGAGAGGTTTGTTCAAACTGTGCGTGGACTTCAGAAAACGCTGGTATCACATCTCGAGGCATCTATCCAAGCAGCCATTCCTGCAGGGCATCCTATGATCCAATGGGCAGCAATGCATTCTGCATGGATTTACAGTCGTTTCCATGTTCATGCCTCCTTGCGCACCACTCCATATCAATCCTTGTTTGGTCGACCATACAGAGGCAAACTGGTGTGTTTTGGACAAACTGTCTATGGTTTGGACCCCAAGGCCGACAAGTACAGACCTGCATGGATACGTGGTGCATGCATGAGAAAGGATTCAACAGACATGGACTTGATTTCAACAGATGGGCAGAATGTGGTTCGTACCAAAGCTGTCAGGCGCACTGGAGAAGAATGGGATGCTGCATTGGTTCTTGGTGTGGAGATGATTCCAAGCCAGGTATTTGGCCATCGACAGGTGAAGCCCAAACAAACAATCATTCCTTTGCAAGCTCCAGTTCCAAAGGCAACTGATGCAGATGCAGAAGCAGTGAGGGATTATGTTTCAGAAGGATACTCTCCAACGGAAAGAGCACCAGATGAAGATCAGCTGGATGGTGCCAGAACGTGGGAAGAGGCTGGCTTAGAAGATCCATTTTCACCTGCAACAGCTCCTCAATCACCAGCAGCCATGGAGTTCGAGCAAGGTGGGGGTGTACCCATTACACCCATGACTGAAGGCGGCAGTGATGTTGACGTTGAGATTCCTTCAGGATCTACCAAACATGCATCCAGCGACCCTCTTTCTGGTGAAAGGATGAAGATGCAGAAAATGGATGACGATCCGATGCCAACGCCCAAGGTGAAGGCAAGCCGCAAGGATGGACAGGTCAATCAAGTGGACGAGATGGACATGTGCCACAATGATGAGAGCATGTATCCTGACAATTTTGAGGACGATGCTTTGTTTCCGGATTCGGAGGATGAATACATTGCTGGTCAAGGAGAAAGTGATGGTCCACCAAATGTGAGTGCTGAAAAGCTTCAAGAGCTTGAAGAGAAAGCAGCATTGGATGAAGTTGAGAAGTTACATCAGATGGATGTGATTCAGCCAGTTACTTTGAGTGACGATGATGCTGCAACTGAGAATGTGGTGGATACAACCTTGTTTTATGACTGGAGGTTTCGAAACCAGCAGTGGATCCGAAGATGCCGGATTGTTGCAAGAGAGTTCAAAACAGGTGCAACAGATGAGAACAATTTTTCTCCCACGTCCTCATTTGCGTCGGTGCGGATGCTGCTCACCTTTGCCATCATTTACAACTTGGCAGTCACAGCATTGGATGTCAAAGACGCTTTTCTCATGGTACCTCAAGTGGAGGTGATGTATGTGAAGATTCCAGTGTGGATCAGGAAGTGGACAGGAAAGCCACACACTCATTGGCTTTTGAAAAGATGCCTTCCAGGTCAGAGGAATGCGGCACGTCGTTGGCACCAGCATACTGGTGGTCTATGTGAGGATGCAGACCTCGAAGCATTTCCAGGTGCACCAACTATCCTTCGACACAAGGACCTCAACCGCAAGGTGTATGTCAACATTCATGTGGATGACATTTTGTTGGTGTGCAATCCTGGTGATGTGGAGTGGTTTCAATCAACAGTTGGTGCAACGTTGACTATGAAGGTTGATGGTCCGCATCTACCTGGAAGTGGAAATCAGCTGATGTACCTCAAGAAGAGGATGACGATGCAGCCCAATGGCATTCTCATTCAGCCAAATTCCACCTACATTCCCAAATTGGTGGCTTTGATGAAAGTGAGTGGAAGGAGGAAGAAAGGTTTGCCTTACCACGCAACATTGGAGAACTTCAATGCAGACTTGATGGTGGAAAGTGAACTGCTCGATACTGAGCAGGCAGCAACGTTCAGGTCTGGACTTGGTTTGGCTTTGTATCTGGCGATGGATCGGCCAGATATCCAATTCGCAGTCAAAACATTAGCCTCCTACATGTCAAAGCCGACCATCAAGGCATTGTCAGCGCTGAAGCATTTGGCTTCATATCTGGATGGTACAGCAGATGATGGTTTGCTCGTACAAAGTGCTGATGAAGGCCAGTGTATTTTCGATGCATGGAGGGACGATGAGTGGATTTCAGATGAAGTTTCAGTTCCTTCAGATCGAGCAACAGCCAGGTTCAACATTGATGCGTTCAGTGACAGTTCATGGGCTGATTGCAAAACAACTCGAAAGAGTACATCATCTGGACTCGTATTTCTCAATGGTGCAATGATTTTTGAGCATCTGTCGAACACAAGCCTCAGTTGCGTTGTCGAGCTGCGAAGCCGAGCTCTACGCTGCAAACGGTTTGATGGTGGAGTGTATGTTTCTCTACAGACTGTGCAAATTTCTTTGCAAGGATTCATGGCTTTGGTACAGAGGGCAGGAACTGGAAGGTTGAAGCATGTGCAGATCCGACAGTTCTACCTGCAGAATCTTTTGAGGGCTGGAATTTTCACGATCCACAAGATCAACACGAAGATCAATCCGAGTGACTTGAACACCAAACGGCTGAGCAGTGAGCGGCGCAGATTCCTGGGTAGACTTATTGGTCTTTTCATGACCAGTGAAAGAAATGATGACAATGAAATCAGGCAGATGCGCCGAGTGAACAGGGTGACCAGGCAACAATGTGTGCGCTTGGTTCAGATGGCTACAGCTGCACTGGGAATTTGCTCACAGTTGAAAGGTTGTAGTTCAGTTTCAGGTGCAGGCATTCCAGCGGAGTACTTTGAGAAGGAGGCCATGGGCTATTCTGGCGGACTCAGTGGATATGATTCTTTCATCTGCAGTGCAAGGACTGGCGATGATGATTGCAGCAGTCTTCAAAATTTCCATCCTTGTGCTTGGGTTTTCAGTGCTGGCGGCAGGTGCAGTATTCATTTACTTTGGACTTCTGACCTGGGGACGCAGCAGACTCACGCATTGGATGGAGACAAGGATGCCAGACAGAACCATGGGCTGGAGACACAGGATGTTTGTATATCCTTCCTTCTTTACAGTTTTCAAGATGGGTGCTTGGCAATGAAATTGACTATTTGCATGCGAGATTTCGTGAAGCTGAACAGAGAGGTGACATGATGTTGACATTGAAACCATCTACAATGACCTCAACGAGTACCTTGGAGGTGAAAGGGTCAGAATTGACCATCCAAGGGAACCACTTCCTCCGGTTCGGTATGCAAATCCAAGAGTTGAAGATGAAGGAGAAGAAGAGGAGATTGAAGATGGTGATGATCCTCCTGAAGGAGGTAATGGAGGTGGCCACGACCCCGATGGCAATGAGATCGTCCACATGGCATTGAATGGAGTTCCATTGAATGGGCAGGCCATCGACAGACTTCCAAACTATGACTACGATGTGGATCCTCAGCAAAACGATGGAGATGAAGAGATGCCTGGAGAATTACCAGATGAGAGAAGAACCAGGTATTTGAACAGTGAACAAGGCGAAGTGAGCGACCCTGATGAGCGGACAAATTTACACTATGATGCCTATGAGAGGATGAGGGCATATTCACAAGCCAATCGAATCAGGTTGACCAGAGCAGCCAACACGTTGAGACAGAGGCACGACGAAGCAGCAACTCAAGGCAATTGGGAAGAAGCTGCAGGCGTGCTAAGAGCATTACATGAAGTCGAGTCATTGATGGACATTGCGTGATGCAATCAGTGCTTGTGGTTGTAGTGCTAGAAGTTTTTTTTTCCGATGTGCCTGGAGACCAAATTCGAGAGACAATTGCATGGCACAGGGTCTGGTAATGGACCAAAACTGCACGAAACGTTGGTTTGCACAACGTTATGTGGCAGGAATTTTTCCAAAATCCCTACCAAGGTGGGGTGTCACATTTTAGTTAATGGAATCAAGGCAGGTTCGCAGGTCTCCAGTTGTCACTTGGAACAGTACAGATAAAATTAGCATGGCCTTGCTGTTTGGATGACACAGCACAAATTCAGAAGTGTAACTTCGTGACAAGTGGCTTGAAGCATTCAGAGAAAGGGCGCGCGGCTTTTGAGTTGTCCCGTGCATCTTGAGACATTTGGAACGCCCACGGCATAGACTGCGTTCACTCCCCATAGACTGTTTGAATTGCTGCGTTTCTGGCAATGAGTTTAAGCTTTGAAACATGAAGGCAGACATCCAAATATACCTTTTGCAACTTGTGACACGTGTGCTGTGCTTGTGCCTCCACATTGTTTGGCGTAAGGACAGGCTGCAATAGTTGTACAATTTGCATTGTTGCACGAAACGTTTCCCCAATATCGCATGAGTTTAGCGCTGGAAAAACAATCCATGGACGTGACACATTTCCAATCAGTCAATTGAAACATCGGAACAGTTGTTTTGCAAAAAGGGTTCATTATGCCTCCAGAGCGTTCGGCTCCTAGTTTAATCAACGGATGGACCAAAATGCAGGAATTGAAATTCAAAATGATACTTGACATCATTTCTGTTCAACTGTCGATACTTCATGGTATGTCTGTTGAAACAGTTTCATTTTTCATGTCATATCTTGGCAAAGTGGTCGCATTGTTTTCACGCGTGTCTTTGAAAAAAACGTTTGAGTACAACAGTCTCGCACCCGTTTGTGGAAAATGTCCGTCGCATTCATCAACAACCACGGTGAGAAGGGCTACAACCACGACGTCAACCACGATGAAACAAAGATGCATGAACTGCAGGGCTACAACGTCAACCACGACGAAACAAAGATGCATGAACTGCAGGGCTACAACGTGAACGACGATGAAACAAAGATGCATGAACTGCATCAAACGTATGGAACTCTGCTGAGCGAGGAACAAAATCTGAAGATTCGAGTGACTATCCATCAAATTTTGGCAGCTTCCCATTTGCTTAGTGTATCATCATGGAAATTCCAGTTGGGTTCCCTTCATCAAAAATAAGTATTTCATTTTTCACAGAATTGTTGTGAAATTGTTGTGTTCACAAAGGGTTGTTTCCTGAATAATACAGTTTCTTGCGAGGAAATGGAATTTCCATGAGGTTTTTGTCATATTGTCATATTGCAATCTGTGGAAGTGTGTGTCTTGAATCAAAATAGGGTTGGCAGTTGATGCGGTCGAGTTTTCGGCAGCACACGCTGGCATCTCATACTCTTGGCATCACAAATCAATTCCACATTTTCAATTTTGATTTCACCAGATTTTGTTTAAAACAAGTCCAGTGCGTTCCATTCCGTCCATGTCCATGTTGATCCATGTTGATCCATGTTGATCCATGTTGATCCATGTTGATCCACGAGGCAGTCGACTTGGACCAAGAAACGTTCACCATGGAACTGGATGTTTGTTTCAGGTGGAAAGATCCCAGGCTGAGGCGCTGCACGGATTCGGGCCATTCGGGGGTCAAATGCATCAACCAAGCGACAACCATTCGGGGGTCACTGCAACAGGACGCTTTGGTAGGCAATTTTTTGTCCTGTGGCGTTTGGCATCCAAGTAGGTGCAGTTTTTGCAGGACTTGTTTGTTCAAAAATCAAGGATCTGATAAATTCTGATAGATGTCGTGATCAGTGGTTGGGTCGAACAAACGCCTTAATTGCATTAATGATTACAACGGTTACAACGGTTACAACGGTCCATGTCTCCGAAACATCTCCAGTGGATTGCCATGTGAACCGAGAGAGGTCAAAATGGTGCAAGTCGATTGTAATGATTTCATGGTGGATATATCATGTGATTCGTTGGAAACGTTTGAAACGTTGGAAACCTGGTTCTGTGAACATTTTTGTCAGAATGTGTTTTCTGAACATGCACATTTTGTCAGGAATGCGAAAACCAGAGTGTGGTTGCCTCGTGAGTCCACCTTGAAGGGGCGACAAACATGCGAAGGCCGATATCTGCCGAAGGAACACCTCGGTGTCTGATGCGGGTTGTGAAATGCCGCAAGATACAATGTGACACAGTCGATATTTTTAGGTTCCCCAAAACACCTCAGGGGATCTGACCCACAGGAATCCACAGTAAAACTCGTGCCGTTGCTGCCATTGGTGCTTTTGCCTCGACAGGTAGTACCTGTTATTGCCGTGGTGGCCTAAGGGGTCAACGTTGCAGCAAACTGCCTTTCGTGCTGGGCATCTTCAAAGAAGAGAAGGGTCCTTGAGCTTAGCACAGAGCCTGTACTCGATGGATCTCAATGGATTCGTCACAGTGTTTTTCACATTACACACTCACTCTATTATGTAGTTCAAACATACCCATTGAAGGCGTATGATTTGGGAGTCAAAACCGCCTTGCAGCAAGCCTTTGAGTCCTACTCAACGTTTGTGTAACTCTGTGCAACTATCATCTTTATAGATCTTTACAGGAAAATCAACGTTACACAATCAACTTGTGTCCGTTCAATTGATGGATTGGCCTACAGGGCCTACAGATGAAATAAACACAGTGAAACGAAGCAGTGAATCGCTGGCGGTTCAAATTCAGTCACAAGGCAAAGACTACATCAAGGTCGAAGACAAGAATGACGCTGTGTCAGCACTCAAGCCAGCCCCATGACCCATGTGATATCACCCACAGTGACAGAAAACTCAACCTGATGGTGAGCAGAATCACTTAAAATGTGGAATATCAAACAACTACATTCGACCAGGCTTGACTTTTGCCCATCAAAATATTGGATTTGTAGATTTTGTGAAACAAAATATTGATAGGCAAAAGGGGGCTGAGCTATTGATCTAGGCGAGTATTCATTGGATGCGAGCTACAGTGTCAGCAAAACAACAATGTTGACTCGTAGAGGCCTTAGAGGTTATTTGTGCGGCGTCGTAGGTCCAGCGAGCAGATCAGAAATGTGTTAAATTTGAACCATGTTTTCAGACATTTTCAGAAGCCAGATCCCAAGCGGCTAATGTTTACTGCTTGGATCGAGAAATCTGACATTATTTGACATCAAAAAAAAACATTCATACGAAGTAATTCTAGCCTTCCAGTGGTAATTTCAAACTCCAGAGGCATCCCAGGTGGTTTCTCAGCGGCTCCAGGGTGGTTACCATGACTGGCAGTTGCTCTCGAGCTTCATTTACAAAGAGGAGCCGAACTTCAGTGATCTCGGACAGTCCCTTGGTTTTGAATTCTGCATGTTCAAGTCGTCAGACTTGTTGACAGAAACCCAACAAGATCTCAGACATTTCTTGCACTGGAAAATTCAGACCTTCGAAGCCAGACATTTTTTGTTGAACAGACCTCACGCGCAAGGCTTTAAACCTGCAGCTTTAACAGCCGCCTTGAGGTTGTTCCGAGGCGACAGGGGAGGTTCTTCCATCGTGACCTTCTCAAAGCTGATGGAAGAGCCCACGGTGCTGAACGATTTCCAACGTCTCAGCAACGGCGAAACTGGTGAAACCGTTTTGTTCCGGAAGCTGAGAGCAGATTTCAAGGCAGGGTTGGCCAATCCGGAATGACATCGAAGCCTATTGAAGCCTATTAGGAATGTTGACCCCACCATCCCTTGTATTGAAGACCTTCTCAGGCGATCTTGTTTTGTATCACCCTGACAGGAAAACATGGAACTGGAACACTTTCCATTCGACCGGCAGCTGCTTCAATTCACTATTACAGCAAGCGTGCCTGTCTCGATGTTGAAGCTTGAGGTGGGCTGGGGGAATGTTGCAGATGCCGACTAGTCTCCACATGTGTGAAGTGCAGACAAGACGATGTGAGGAATCTGGGAAATCTACCTATCAAAAACGAAACATATCAATATCAAAACATATTCGCATGTATTTTTCAAACAATCTGCAATTCATGCAAAGGTGAGATGTATAGTACATACAGTACGATACACAGTTTGTTTATTGGAGAATATTCCATGCCGAACACCTTCCCAACTGCCTATGAGGTGGATGAGAAGGTGAAATCCGTTTGCCGTGTGGAAGATTTGCCGGAGTACAAGGCATCCAGCCGTTTTCACATGGAACAAGTCGGCAGAAAGTCTGAGGTTTGGAAAAACTGGAGGACTTACAGTAGGGAGCAATCTGATCAATCTGATCAATCTGATTAAGCTGATCAATCGATCAATCTGTCCCCTGAGCACTACACATGACACGTTTTTTTGAGTGCAATTCTCCAATACAATTTTCTCGCAGCTATGCACTTGCTTGGGACAGAAATGTCGTTGCCTCACTTCCTGTCAGCCACATCTAGAAGTAGACAAGGCGTGTGAGAGGCTCACAGGCTCATCTCCCCACGATTCTCCCATGGGGTGTTGGATGGTGCAAGACGTGAGGTGAACGAGGATGAGAATGAGGAGAGGGTTTGACGGTTTGACGGTTTGACCATGGCTCGTGGCAAGTGGCTTGCGTTCATGCTTGATGTTCATTGTAGACCTGGAATCTCACGTTGGCCTGTGATTTATAGACCGTTGATTGATCAATCGGGAGGTTGTCTGGAGATTCCTATTTATTCAAGTGTCCCTCCGACTCCCTCTTTTCTTAGACCTCAGGAAGGCAAGAAGATTTGGGTTGACTGAAGAACAACGAATACAAGCCGTGTTAATCCGTTGTCAAGATATGTTCAGACCACTGATGCAAGTCACTGCAAGTCATGGCAGAACTGACCCATGTTCGCTATGTGGAGGTATGTTGAGACTTTGGAATGTTCCACCCGGATTCCACCTTTTGCATCCTTTTGCGCTGATCCAGGCAGTCGGGATATTGAAAGAAAAGACCATAGCTCCCAATGTCAACAACAAACAGTATTCCCAAGTGAAGGCTGGCAGTGGGCTGTCCGGGCTGTCTATGTCAGAGGGTGCCTGCACATCTCTCTTCTTGGCATCATGATGATGTCATGGCTGTGGTGGTGGCTGTTTTTGTTGCTGTTGGTCTTGTCGTCGCTTCCTCTTTTCTCCCCTCACCATTTCGACCCGAGCAGTCGAGCAGTCGAGCAGTCGAGCAGTCGAGCAGTCGTTTGAGCCCTCACCCTTAGCAGCCCGACCTGAGATCAGAAGCACTCAGTAGGTTTTTCCGACAGCGCACTTTTCAAAAGCAAGCAAAGCACTGCAATTTCTACATTTGGAGGTCTGGTTGGTGGATCTGAAGCGTCGGGCTTTGCTCCAAATGCAACAATGGCCGGCTTTGCTGCCCCCGCTGCCCCCACTTCCATCTTCCGGTCATTTGTTGTTTGGGCTCTCGGGTCTCAGTTGCCAAGGGCCTCATAGAATCCAATGAAAAGGATATATCAGAACATAGCCGGCACCAAACGTATCGATGCGAGTTTTTCATTCCTGACCAGGGCATGGAGTCTGAAGCATCCCTTCGCAAGAGCAAAAGTAAAGCGAAGAACAAGTGCCTCTTAGTTCTCTTGCCCTGATCTTTTCCCCAAACAGTGTGTCCACACCGGGGGTAGGAGTTAAGGCCAGGGGTAGATCACGGTACGTCATCTGCTTTGCGTTTTTTTTTGCAGTAAATTCTCGCATAAACTTGCTCTTGCGAGATGTCCAAGTGCATTTCGACTGCGCAAGCTGGCACAAAACGTGCAGCTAACTTCTGGGGCGCGGCATTTTTCCTGTAAATTATCACATGAAATGGCTCTTCTGAGATGTCCATGTGCATTTCGACTGCGCAGGCTCGCACAAAGTCCGCGCCACGGGGTTCTCAAGCTCTTACCCTGCGACATTTTCAATGTAAATTGTCACATAAACGGCTCTTGTGGAGATCCTGCTAAATTCCTCTCTAAGGGCCCTTGCATGATCCTGTACAGGTCCTGAACAGAAGATCTTGTGGAGATCCTGGTGAGATCCTCTCTAAGAGGCCCTCGCATGAAGCCCTTGGAGATGCCATGTCGTACAAGTGCTTGTATGAAAGCTCTTGTGCGCGGCTCTTGGGAGGTTCTTGTCTCAAGATCTTGTAAGATTCGCGCATTTTACGACGCTCTTGAGAGCTTCTCTTAGGGGTCCTGGCATGAAGATCTTGGCCAAGGTCTTTTACAAGTCCTTGTGAGAAGTTCTTGTGGAGATCCTAGTGAAATGCCGTCAGAGGCTTTTTGCATGACCTTGTACAACTTTTTGTGAGAAGCTCTTGAAGAGGTCCTGGTGAAATCCTCCAGGTGTCCTTACATGATCTCTGACAGGTCCGTGTGACAAGATCTTGTGGAGATCTTGTTGACATCCTCCGCAAGAGCTCCTTGCACTAAGAGCTTGAAGATCCTCTGCCTTGGTGCTTGTATAAAAGTTCGTCTGGATGCTCATAGGAAGTTCTGGTATGAAGATCTTGTGAGCCCCTCTATATAGATCTACATAGAAGGTCCTGCCGCTGCAGTTGCGATCATGTCTAACCTCATCTGTTACAGGCAATCGACAAAGTCGTTCCTTTTTTTAAGAAATCTCTAGATTTAGTTGCGTCGAAGCTTTCCCTGGAAGTCGTGCCTTTTTGGAAAACGCAAGCAAACTCTGGTGATCACAGCGCAACCATGTTTTTAGGGGTTTTTCTTTTTTTCCTTGCGTTTAGCTTGGGTTTAGGTATCTAGTTATGCTTTGGGTATATGTAGTTTTTGTTGCGTTCAGTTGGGGGGAAACTTTTTTTGTTGCAGCTGCTTTCTTATCAGTGACTTCTGTACGTTCAACTGTATTTAGCAACTACTGTTAAACTGCTGCTCAATTGTTGGCTGTTGCTCAGTTGCTGCCGCTGGCTACTGCCAAACTGCTGCTGGATTGCTTCTGAACTACTACCACTAGGCTTACGTCATTCCAAGTGACCTGAAGTCGTATCACACCTGCGTGCGCGTAGTGTTTCGTTTAGATTTTGATAGTTCAGGAAGGAAGGAAGGGGCAGGAAGGAAGGAAGGAAGGAAAGGAAGGAAGGAAGGAAGGAAGGAAGGAAGCAAGGAAGCAAGGAAGCAAGGAAGCAAGGAAGCAAGGAAGCAAGGAAGCAAGGAAGGAAGGAAGGAAGTCAGGAAGGAACCCAAGTGGTGGGTGCTGTTGAGGCACATCAGGCACATCATGCGACATGCAGGTGAGTAGGAGACAAGTGGGACACCAGTGGAGACAAGTGGGAGACAAGTGTATAACATTGTATACCCAGGCGGCCCAGAGCAACCAGACCGTAGTCGGTCGAGCATGCCAGGAATGCAAGCCCGGAGGCAGAAGCAAAATAATGCGACCCAGGACTGCAACCTTTTCAAAGGAATAAGAACTTACAAACTGCATTGGCCTCTTTCTGTGTGAGAGGGCCATAGCTACCCAGTATCTACTTACAGAATTCTTCATACAGATAAACCTGTTTGGGGAAGAAAGTGGGCAAAGAAGAAACAGTGAATCGCAAGCACAGGGAAGAGAAAAAAGGGTGAAAGTGAAAGGTTCTGATTTGGAAAGGGTTATTTGACGCTTGCGTTCTGAATGGGGGAAGGCCCAAAGGCATGACTTAGGCATGACTTCTTGATGTTGCGTTCACAAGCGGGGAAAGCAAAAGGAGTGACTTAGGCATGACTTTGTCAAACCCCTGTACTGTTCCATAGCTACTGCTGCTTGTATCTGGTACATTGACTTCCTACCCCCAACACTGTTTGCGGTCTCTTGCCTGTGTAATTTAAAATATCTTGGCTCAATCAGGTTACCGCTCTGAGGTTGCAACTCATGTGACACCTCCGGACGGGTTCAGGAATGTGGACACATTGAAATCAAGGTCAGCCAGGTGAATTCGTACGTGCTTCCTGTGCTCTGCTTGAATCGGACGCGGAAAAAATGCGCAGTAATTGTCAAAGACTTTTCGGTTCACAATTTTGGCAAGTGAAATTAATGGATTGGCCTGCGGTATCATCGTTTTCTTGAAAGACGTGAAAGTATGCCATTTGTTGGGCCAGATTCATAGTTTTCGGGCTTATGTGAAGGGGAAGAGCAGAGGGGAACAATTTGTTGCAAAGGGGGGTTCCCTCATCGTCTGCGCCCCTAAACCGCTCTTGGGGTTATAATTGCTCGAAAGATGGTTTTTGAATAGGGGCGCAGATGATCAGATGGGCTTAAAGTGCCACGCAGGTCGCACAAACCAAGCGTTGCACAGGCTACCAGTATCGTCTGTGCCCCTAAACCTTCGTTGTGATAATGGGGAATTTCACTTTTTGAGAAATGTCTCGCACGAAAGCGTCGTTTTCACATCTTCAACTTTCACTTTTTGAGGGAAGTCTAGCACCAAAGCTTCGTTTTCACATCGTCAGTTTTACTTTTGAGGGAAGTCTCGCACGAAAGCGTCGTTTTCACGACTTCACCGTGCAGTTTTATACGGATGTTTCGCAGGATTGCGGCGTTTTCACGACAGAAGGGAGACAGGAAGATAAGACCTCAATCTTTTCGACATCCATGTTATAATTTCGAAACGTTCGCTCGGGGCAGGCCTTTGGATTATAGACGGGGGTAGAGGTTTTGAAACCCCCCTTGCATCAGCAACTTCAAAGCCTTAACTTAACGTTGTTCCAGACATGACTCTGCTTCTTCCATATCATATATATATATATGTATATACAATGATTTCGAAAGGTCAAACCCCTCAGATACTCTTCATATATGGTGCCATGATAGTTCCTCCCATGATGGCCCCCCCTTCCAACCTAAAGGGTCTTACCCCTCAGAAGCATGTTTCTATATGAGAGTTTAGGGCCGCAGATGATCGTGTTTTAGGGGCGCAGATGATGAGTGAACCCAAAGGGGAAGGTCAGAGTGGTCTCGGTGGATCGCGGTAAGACGTGTCCTCGCATCCGCACAGCGTTCCTAGGATGATGTTCCCAAGGTAGACTTTGACAAACCTCAGTGGGATTCTGCAATTTTTCCCCCTTGGCCAATTTTCCAGACCCTGCAAAACCTGGTGGATGCTGCCTGCATGTCGAAAGCTGTTGCAGAGTCTTGCCACCAAAGGGATTCCCTGACTGCTTGGGTAGGATGGCTGGCGCTATCACAAAACATGGTTGGAATGAATGATAGCCCGGACGGCTTCATTTTCACATGTATTGAACCCCATGAGAACTCCCTCGACAGAGGTTCTGAAGTTCTTCACTCAACACAGTCCTAGTTCTTGCCAAGATCCGCTCCAGCCATTTCCGGAGTGACAGGTGATGGTGCATTTGCAAAGAAAACCGCAAAAGTACATGGTGAACATCGTCTTCATGGTCTATATGCTGGTCTTTGCGTCTTGCAGTAGCTTCGTGATCCCATTGGAGAAAACAGGCCCTTTTAGGGATGTCGGATGGACTTTTGGATGGCCGGAGGAACAAACTGATGCTTCAGGGTATGGTTTTTCATGGAAACAAATGAGGTCATCCAGCATCAAAACATGTCAAAACACCTGTGAGGTGAGAGGTGTGGTGATTTGGGAGGAGTACCCAGTGTACCATTTGGATGTGGTGTTATGATGTTTTATGATGTTTTATGTTTGGACGCCGGGATTAACTTCCCAAGTCGTTCGTTCTTATCCAGAAGATCGTTTTTTTAGAGATCTTTACATGGTCGGCTGGCCTGCACTTGATACTGTGCGGCAGATGTGCTACAATGTGCTGCAAGGAGACCGCATCGCCAGCATCATCACCTTCATTTTGACCATCATGGCATTGAAATACGTTATCAACGATGAACTGCCAGGCATTTTGCGAGCTGTGATTGAACAGTCACTAGAAGGGAAGCATGGGATGAAAGTGCCTGGAGTATAGGATTGATCGTTGGTTTTGTGGCTGGGTCTATCGATGGGGCCCTGGCTTGGTACCTGCGTTAGGTTCCTGGGCAACTAAGCAACTAAAGGATGTTCATGCAGAATAACTAAAGGTTTCATGTCGGGAATACTGTGGATTCTCGGCACGACCGTTCTTGAAATGGTTTCCACTTTGAAACACATATTTTTCCTGCCAATTTAGGATGTGAGACATGAAACCAGAGTGCTGAGTGAGGACACATCCATGGAATCCATGTCCAAAACATCTTCAGAGGGAGGTTTGAAATGCATTGTAACAAGACGCATGTGTTTTTGCCCATTTTTGTACCTCTTGGGATCCCCAACAGCAGCCAGGTAAAGATTATCAGACCTGGCTCGATTACTATCTCTTGATCTCATATGTACTCTTGATGCTTGGCTTGCACCAAGCTGAGCAGAGCTTGGCAGTGGCTAGGTGGCTGACCTAGTTGACCTAGTTGACCTACAGTAGATGGACAAATTATTCAAACCCCTATCCATGAGGTATAGGCCACCCCCTACCTCCCCCGAATTTCAATGTTATGGTTTCGTAGCTCGGTTCCTGCTCTGGGGGCTTGATTTATTTCGCCCATTCGAAGGAACGAACCAAACAAGAAAATAACATTGATATTTGGGGTGAGGGGGGTTGCTCTATGTAAAAGGTTTTGAATAGTTCGTCCATCTACGGTACGGGGGGTGGTGGTCAGCAGGAGGGTATAGCGAATGGTAAGCTTCACTTTTTGTTCGACATTAGCACATACTGTGCGAAGATATGAATTAGGTGACAGACGTGCATTGAACAGTTTGAATTTGACTGTATGACTACTCTACAAGGATGACAGGAGTCGCTTTTGTTCAAAGGAGATTGCGCAGCCTTGGAGCCAAAATCCTGACCAAGTAATCACATCAGAGAAATTGGTCAACTAAGGCTGATGATGAAGATTTTGAAGAAGATGACTTTTGCATGTTTTTAATGATGATGTACTGAAGATATTGTACAAGTGCGCTTTTCTGTTTCACATCTGTGTTTGTCCTCTTTTCAGGTTGTGTTTTTCCAGTTCCCTTACCGGCCGTGCTTGCAACTGCCGTGTTTTTCCAGTTCCCTTTCCCGGGCGTGATTGAAAATGCCGTGTTTTTCCAGTTCCCTTTCCCGGGCGTGATTGAAAATGCCGTGTTTTTCCAGTTCCCTTTCCCGGGCATGATTGAAAATGCCGTGTTTTTCCAGTTCCCTTTCCCGGGCGTGATTGAAAATGCCGTGTTTTTCCAGTTCTCTTTCCCGGGTGTGATCGAAAATGCTGTGTTTTTCCAGTTCCCTTTTCCGGGTGTGATTGAAAATGCCGTGTTTTTCCAGTTCTCTTTCCCGGGTGTGATCGAAAATGCTGTGTTTTTCCAGTTCCCTTTCCCTTTCCCAGTTCACTTCCAGTTCCCTTAAAAAATCCCTTACAGCATTTTTGATCACGCCCGGGAAAGGGAACTGGAAAAACATGGGCTTTCAGCCACATCGTAGCCAAAGAGGTCGCAAACTTTTAATCGGTTGGCAAGACAGCTTGAGGATGGGCTAGTTGAGAATATGTGGCGCGACCTTTTGAGTGTCATTTTTGGAATTGGAATAAGCTACCATTCGATGTTGCTAACAGCAGCGCATCATGATATTCTAGCCCGCATGCGCCATAATCATTCCAAAACCCTCCCCTGACATCCTAGCGTGCCAGGTCAACATTCTGCTCCGAGTACTCTACTTGTCAAATACAAAGTGCTCCAACCGAACGCGCTTCGGTTGAGCCACTTTGCAATCATCTGATGGAACCTCTTTCCCTCCTTTCCTTCCTTGTCCCGGTCCATGGCATAATATATACATGTGTTTTTAATGAATGTACAAGCGGCATCACGCAACGCGAGGCGGCCCCACCCTGAAGTGCCCCAAAGCAACTTCAGTACGTGGAGGAGCTTTGGGCCACGCTCAGCTGAAGATGAAGGGAGAAAAGTTGTGCCATCGGCAGGAATCCACAGGTTTTGTATGGTCAGTGACAACAACAACAACAAGAAGTAGGTGGGCCTTATCATCCACCTTTATGGCGTTGTGACTGGGCGTGTTTTTTCAGACAAGTGGTGACATGTGATGACACTTGTTAAAGCAATGTCTGAGTTCTTGGGGTCATATGCGGAAAAATGCAAAAAGATGGGAAAAAATGAACGCTTGAGACAGTAGATGGACAAATTATTCAAACCCCTATCCATGAGGTATAGGCCACCCCCTACCTCCCCCGAATTTCAATGTTATGGTTTCGTAGCTCGGTTCCTGCTCTGGGGGCTTGATTTATTTCGCCCATTCGAAGGAACGAACCAAACAAGAAAATAACATTGATATTTGGGGTGAGGGGGGTTGCTCTATGTAAAAGGGTTTGAATAGTTCGTCCATCTACGGTAGTTGACCTAGTTGACCTAATGACGCGCGATTGAGAGAAATGACCCGGTAAGGGTGAAGTGATGTGAGCTGCCCACCTCGAGTTCCCATCTTTGCAATAACAATCCTTCTGACATGTTTTGACGAAACATTTTAACAGATGGCCGCTGCATGATTGATGTTCCGTTATTTCGTTCCGAAAAAATTTTGCGGCAAATGTGTGGCATTGCTCTCCGAAAAACAACCAACAAGAAACCCAGAAAGGATCAGGGGATGTCGAGCAGTTTCTTTGCGCTGATCTCCGTTGTGATCTCCACAATAGTTCTGCGTTTTGGTTATGACATCTTATCACGAAAGCTAGCGTCAGCTAGCTGGAGTCTTCTTGCTTTAGCAAGTATTGGGGGGGCTGCTCAAGGACATCACGTGATTTTTCACGCGAAAGGGGGGGACCCCCCCCCTCACCCACCACCACCACCATCACCACCATCACCACCATCATCATCATCATCGTCATCATCATCGTCATCATCATCGTCATCGTCCTCTCCATCGTCCTCTCCATCGTCCTCGTCCTCGTCCTCGTCATCATCATCATCATCATCATCATCATCCTCGTCGTCGTCGTCGTCGTCGTCGTCGTCGTCGTCCTCGTCATCGTCCTCGTCATCGTCATCGTCATCGTCATCGTCATCATCATCATCATCATCATCGTCATCATCATCATCATCATCATCATCATCATTCATCATCATCATTCATCATTCATCATTCATCATTCATCATTCATCATCATCATTCATCATTCATCATTCATCATTCATCATCATCATCATCATTCATCATTCATCATTCATCATCATCATCATCATCATCATCGTTATTCAATTACATTTTATCATTATTGGCAATTATTGTCATTATCACGAAAGCTAGCGTCAGCTCGCTAGAGTCTTCTTGCTTTAGCACGTATTCCGGGGCTCCCCAAGGACATCACGTGATTTTTCCCGCGAAAGGGCCCCCCCCTGCCCCCTCCCCCATATATATCATTGTTATATATCATTGTTATATATCATATATCAATATATCATTGTTGCATCCTCGTTGGGACGAACAATGCCGCGACACGATGATGACAGTCCCTCCGCAACTCACCTCTTCCCTTCCTTCTTTCTCCTACCCCGCTAGCTTTCGTCATCCACCCCCGGCCTCAAGTACCTGGTATACCTGTTATCTAGTTATCTACAATATGTCATAGGATTTCATCCCAAGTGTGCCATTCAGTGTGGCTTTTTGGCACACCAGCATGCTCTATTAACGGGATTCCTTGCCAACAATCGGCATAGGCAATGACCGGCATACCCTTCTTAGGACATACGCCAAAGATCAATTTCAGTTCCTGCAAATAAGGCATATTTCATCCGCGGCTATTTATGATTCATCACCAGCCAACCATGAACCGTTCCTCGGGTACTGAGGACACTCCCAGCTCTGGAGCTGTTGGCATTGCAAGTTCTGCACGTGCTCTGGCGAAGCTTGGCCTGTGAAAAAGTTTGAACGGATCGATCGAGAAAACACAGCGGACCCAGAAGGAAAGCACAACTTTGTTTCCGGCATCCTTCCATGGAAAGGCTTCCCTTTCGGTTGGGCAAAACTTCGGGAGATTCAAAATTTTTGGGTAGATGCTAAAGTCATGGCTGTCCATACTTGGACCGCTGGCCCGGCAGCGAGGCTCTATTGACCCCGATGAGAGCCTAGACGTTATCAGTGCCAAACACGAAGGTTTAGACTTAGCATTTGCCACCTGTCTGCAAATAGGTGTTTTTCTGGGTGTTTCCAGACAGAGGTGCCAAGTTTCCCTGGTTCATGCACTTGGCTGTCCAACCAAGACACACCGGCACACCCGATGAAATCAGCTAGGCACATCATAAATCGCCTCCAAGGGACCCTCCAAGTGGTTCATTTTCGTTCACTTGGTTCACCCCTTAGTTTTTGATATAGCCAGATGGTGTGGCTGTCTCGGTCCAAAGCATGGTCATCCTTCAACACAGACTGGTTGGTATCTAGAGGAACAAAAATTTGTAAATAATCAAAATGGCTCCTTGACAAGAGAAATCCGATGGACAGAGATGATCCTTACGGTACACCATGCACTGCAGCCTGCGATGGACAGGTGGTTCCTGAGATGTTAAACGGTGAAGCAGTGAAGACTTGAATTCATGGAGGCCTGAGGTGTTCATGCTGATGCTTTAACAGATCAGGCAATTGTCTTCTTCAGCTTTTGGAATGGGTCTCATTTGGTCCTGTGGCTGACGTACAAATTCTGTCCGGAGTGTTTCTACCATTCATGGGAGCCTTGGCCACCTGTGATGCCTTGGGATGCCTTGGGAACTGCCTTGGGATGCCTCGGGTCATGTTGCGGCGGTGTTTTCGTGAAGGTGTGAGGCTATCAATAAACGTGAACCAGCTTTCTTTTTAACATCCCATGGCGACAAGGCTCAGTTTTTCATTTAGGATGGTCTACTTGGGAGCTAGTGGGGGTAGCTAGTCAGCGGGATAACTCTCTGCCTGAGGCGTGGATCGCTTTGCCGAACTTCCCACTGTACAGAACAGGTCCAGAACGCACGTCAACATCTGTCAATTGTTGGTACTGAGGACAAGGTGCGTGCGACCCAGGACCACTATCCAGATCAATCCGTGCGAGCTGAGGAGACGACAAGGCCTCGGATCGCCCAAGTGACGTAATCCACCTGCTATCTGATCATCAAAGGAAGTTGGGAAGCAATACTTCCGAGTTACGAATGACTTTTACTTGATGGAATTGACTATGATGAAGGGTGGTACGTGATCTAACAATACATAACATAACAATACACAACAAAAGAATAAGAAGCGGTGGAACTGACCTTGATGAAGGGTGGTAGATCACATAACAATACATAACATAACAATACACAACAAAAGAATAAGAAGCGGTGGAATTGACCTTGATGAAGGGTGGTAGATCACATATCAATTCATAACATAACAATACATAACAAAAAGAATAAGAATCTATGGAGTTGACCTTGATGAAGGGTGGTACATCACATCACAATACATAACATAACAATACATAACAAAAGAATAAGAATCTATGGAATTGACCTGGATGAAATATGGTACATCACATAAAATAAGGAAGCTATGACAGAGGGTGGTGACGAAGGGAGGTGGTGACGATGGGACGTGGTGACGATGGGAAGTGGTGATGAAGGGAAGTGGTGACGAAGGGAAGTGGTGACGAAGGGAAGTGGTGACGAAGGGAAGTGGTGATGAAGGGAAGTGGTGACGAAGGGATGTGGTGACGATGGGAAGTGGTGAGGAAGGGAAGTGGTGAGGAAGGGAAGTGGACGAAGGGAGATGGTGACGATGGGATGTGGTGACGATGGGAAGTGATGAGGAAGGGAGGTGGTGACGAAGTGAGGTGGTGACGATGGGACGTGGTGAGGAAGGAAGCGGTGACGAAGGCAAGTGGTGAGTTGGGGAGGAAGCCGGAGCACGAAACCTTGCGTTTTTCCGTGTAAAGTGGCTGCAGGCGACGATGAAAGGTACCTCGTGTGTGCGGCGGGTGCGGCTGGGGTCGTTTGGTTCCTTCTATGTGTTTTGCAACAATGGTTGTTCCTGTGTGCGTAGTTCTATGCGTTTCTTGAAGCTGTGGTTGCAGATCGCATTGGAATGGCTGCATGAATGTTGCATGCCGTGTGTTGTGGGGAGGAAGCCGGAGCACGAAACCTTGTGTTTTTCCGTGTAAAGTGGCTGCAGCCGGCGATGAAAGGTACCTCGTGTGTGCGGCGGGTGCGGCTGGGGTCGTTTGGTTCCTTCTATGTGTTTTGCAGCAATGGTTGTTCCTGTGTGCGTAGTTCTATGCGTTTCTTGAAGCTGTGGTTGCAGATCGCATTGGAATGGCTGCATGAATGTTGCATGCCGTGTGTTGTGGGGAGGAAGCCGGAGCACGAAACCTTGTGTTTTTCCGTGTAAAGTGGCTGCAGCCGGCGATGAAAGGTACCTCGTGTGTGCGGCGGGTGCGGCTGGGGTCGTTTGGTTCCTTCTATGTGTTTTGCAACAATGTTTGTTCCTGTGTGCGTAGTTCTATGCGTCTTGCGAACTGTGGTTGCAGATCGCATTGGAATGGCTGCATGAATGTTGCATGGGTATGTTGTGGGGAGGAAGCCGGAGCACGAAACCCTTTTGGTTTCCGGTAAGGGCGGCAGCCGGCATGAAAGGTCCTACCCGTGTGCGGCGGTTTGCGGCTGGGGTCCGTTTGGTTCCTTCTATTTGTTTTGCAAACATGGTTGTTCCTGTGCTGGCGTATTCTAGGCGTTTCTTGAAGCTGGGGTTGCAGACGCTTGGAATGGCTGCATGCAGGTTGGCATTCCGTGTTTTGGGGAGGAAGCCGGAGCACGAAACCTTGTGTTTTTCCGTGTAAAGTGGCTGCAGCCGGCGATGCAAGGTACCTCGGGTGTGCGGCGGTTGCGGCTGCGGGTCGTTTGGTTCCTTGTATGTGTTTTGCAACAATGGTTGTTCCTGTGTGCGTAGTTGTATGCGTTTCTTGAAGCTGTGGTTGCAGATCGCATTGGAATGGCTGCATGAATGTTGCATGGGCTTTGTTTTGGGGAGGAAGCCGGAGCACGAAACCTTGTGTTTTTCCGTGTAAAGTGGCTGCAGCCAGCAATGAAAGGTACCTCGTGTGTGCGGCGGGTGCGGCTGCGGTCGTTTGGTTCCTTCTATGTGTTTTGCAACAATGGTTGCTCCTGTGTGCGTAGTTCTATGCGTTTCTTGAAGCTGTGGTTGCGGATCGCATTGGAATGGGTGCATGAATGTTGCATGGGCTTTGTTTTGGGGAGGAAGCCGGAGCACGAAACCTTGTGTTTTTCCGTGTAAAGTGGCTGCAGCCGGCGATGAAAGGTACCTCGTGTGTGCGACGGGTGCGGCTGGGGTCGTTTCATGCGCGAATTGTTCCTCCTGTGTGTTTTGCAACGAGTGGTTGTTCCTGTGTGCGTAGTTCTATGCGGTTCTTGAATCTCTGGTTGCATGATCGCATTGGAATGGCTGCATGAATGTTGCATGGGCTATGTTTTGGGGAGGAAGCCGGAGCACAAAACCTTGTGTTTTTGCGTGTAAAGTGGCTGCAGGAATCGACGTGAAAAGTACCCCCCCTTCGTGTGGTGCGGGGGTGCGGTTTCGGCTGTTGCGGTCTTTTGGGTTCCTTCTATGTGTTTGCACGAATGGTTGTTCCTGTGTGCGTAGTTCTATGCGTTTCTTGCTGTGGTTGCGGATCGCATTGGAATGGCTGCATGAATGTTGCATGCTGTGTGTTGTGGGGAGGAAGCCGGAGCACGAAATCTTATGCTTTTCCGTGTAAAAGTGGCTGCAGCCGGCGATGAAAGGTACCTCGTGTGTGCGGCGGTTGCGGCTGCGGTCGTTTGGTTCCTTCTATGTGTTTTGCAACAATGGTTGTTCCTGTGTGCGTAGTTCTATGCGTTTCTTGAAGCCGTGGTTGCAGATCGCATTGGAATGGCTGCGCCATGGTTACTTGATGCCGCGGCTGCATGCGTAATACTATCGTCTTTTGCAGCTGAAGATTGTTAATCGTATTGGAGTGGCTGCATCCAGGCTGCGATAGTGACTTGTCAGCAAATTCTCGCAATTTTGGCGCTGGCAATTTTCTTTTTAAAAATTCTTTAAAAAAGTGCTTCAAAATCGTCTTTTTTCTGCTTTGGCGTCGACATCCGGTTTTGAAGCTGCAATTTCCGACACCGTTGCGGGAAGCGCTATTGTGTTTTGCAACTCAGTCTCTGCAGATCGCATTGTAGTGGCTGCGTCAAGGATGCTCGGTGCGGCGGCTGCATGCGTAATACTATTGTCTTTTAGAGCTGAAGATCGTAAATCGTATTGGAGTGGCTGCATCCAGGCTGCGATAGTGATTTGTCAGCAGATCTTCGCAATTTTGGCGCTAGTAATTTTCCTTTTAAAAATCCTTTTAAAAAGTGCTTCAAAATCGTCTTTTTTCTGCTTTGGCCGTCGAGATCCATCCGGTTTTGGAGCTGCAATTTCCAATACTGTTGCGCGTAGTTCTATTGTGCTTAGCAACTCAGTCTCTGCAGATCGCATTGTAGTGGCTGCGTCAAGGATGCTCGGTGCCGCGGCTGCATGCGTAATACTATTGTCTTTTGCAGCTGAACATCGTAAATCGTATTGGGGTGGCTGCATCCAGGCTGCGATAGCGATTTGTCAGCAGATTTTCCCAATTTTGGCGCTAGTAATGTTCCTTTGAAAAATCCTTTTGAAGAGTGCTTCAAAATCGTCTTTTTTCTTTTTTGGCGTCGACTTCCGGTTTTGGAGCTGCAATTTCCGATACCGTTGCGCGTAGTTCTTTTGTGTTTTGCAGCTCAGTCTCTGCAGATCGCATTTCAGTGGCTGCGTTAAGGTTGCTCGGTGCCGCGGCTGCATGCATAATACTATTGTCTTTTGCAGCTGAACATCGTAAATCGTATTGGAGTGGCTGCATCCAGGCTGCGATAGTGATTTGTCAGCAGATCTTCGCAATTTTGGCGCTAGTAATTTTCCTTTTAAAAATCCTTTTACAAAGCGCTTCAAAATCGTTTTTTTTCTGCTTTGGCGTCGAGATCCATCCGGTTTTGGAGGTGCAATTTCAATACTGTTGCGCATAGTTCTATTGCGTTTTGCAACTCAGTGTCTGCAGATCGCATTGTAGTGGCTGCGTCAAGGTTGCTCGGTGCCGCGGCTGCATGAGTAATACTATTGTCTTTTGCAGCTGAAGATCGTAAATCGTATTGGAGTGGCTGCATCCAGGCTGCGGTAGTGATTTGTCAGCAAATTTTCTCAATTTTGGCGCTAATAATTTTCCTTTTAAAAATCCTTTTACAAAGCGCTTCAAAATCGTTTTTTTTCTGCTTTGGTGTCGAGATCCGGTTTTGGAGCTGCAATTTCCGATACTGTTGCGCGTAGTTCTATTGTGCTTTGCAACTCAGTCTCTGCAGATCGCATTGTAGTGGCTGCGTCAAGGATGCTCGGTGCCGCGGCTGCATGCGTAATACTATTGTCTTTTGCAGCTGAACATCGTAAATCGTATTGGAGTGGCTGCATCCAGGCTGCGATAGTGATTTGTCAGCAGATTTTCGCAATTTTGGCGCTAGCAATTTTCTTTACCAGTGGCATGGCTGGATCTTGTAAATAGTATTGGAGTGGCTGCATCAAGGCTGCGACAGTGATTTGTCAGCAAATTTTCAACTGGGACGTGCTTTGTGCAAGCTTTGTAGTACAAAGTAGTACTGGGACGTGCTTTGAGCAAGCTTTGTAGTACAAAGAGAATACTGGAACGTGCTTTGTGCAAGCTTTGTAGTACAAAGTAGTACTGGGAAGTGCTTTGTGCAAGCTTTGAAGTACAAAGTAATACTGGAACGTGCTTTGTGCAAGCTTTGTAGTACAAAGTAGTACTGCGACGTGCTTTGTGCAAGCTTTGTAGTACAAAGTAGTACTGGAACGTGCTTAGTGCAAGCTTTGTAGTACAAAGTAGTACTGGGAAGTGCTTTGTGCAAGCTTTGTAGTACAAAGTAGTACTGGGACGTGCTTTGTGCAAGCTTTGTAGTACAAAGTAGTACTGGGAAGTGTTTTCTGCAAGCTTTGTAGTACAAAGCAGTACTGGGAAGTGCTTTGTGCAAGCTTTGTAGTACAAAGTAGTACTGGGAAGTAGTGTGTGTGTGTGCGCAAGCTTTGTAGTACAAAGATGTACAAAGTAGTACTGCGAAGTAGTTTGCGCAAGCTTTTGTAATAGACATCAGTCCGTACTGGGAAGTAGTTTGTGCAAGCTTTGTAGTACAAAGTAGTACTGGGAAATACTTTGTGCAAGCTTTGTAGTACAAAGTAGTACTGGAACGCGTTTTGTGCAAGACATGGAATGAGATGAGAAGAGCCCAGATGAGATGAGTTGAGATGAAGTGCAAGTGTGAAGTGTGAAGAGTGCAGTGTGAAGTGTGAGGAAAGTGTTTGCTTGGCGTTGCATTGCGCCGGGGTCGTGCGCAGGTCATGTTCTCTTGGACAACAACACTGCAACAGCTTCGCGCAAAGCACGCACGCACGGGCCTGGCTGGCACACGGCGCATGCAAGTTCCTTAGTAATAGTACTGGGACGTGATTCATGAAAGCTTAGATGACATATGAAAAGAGATGAGCTGGGATGAGGTGAGAAGAGCTCAGATGAGATGAAGTGTGGAGTGTGAAGAGTGCAGTGTGAAGTGTGGGGCGTGAAGGGTGCAGTGTGAAGTGTGGAGTGTGAAGTGTGGAGTGTGAAGAAAGCAGTGAGAAGTTGAAGTGTGGACTGTGAAGTGTGAAGTGTGGAGTGTGAAGTCAGGAGTCTTAAGAGTGCAGTGTGAAGTGAAGTGTGGACTGTGAAGTGTGAAGTGTGGAGTGTGAAGTCAGGAGTCTTAAGAGTGCAGTGCGAAGTGTGAAGTGTGGAGTGTGAAGCGTGAAGTGTGGAGTGTGAAGAGTGCAGTGAGAAATGTGAAGTGCGAAGTGGAGCTTCAAATGTGACACGAGAAACAGGACACCACTTTCGCAGAATGCACGCACGCACGGGCTTGGCTGGCGCACGGCGCATGCAAGTTCTATAGATGAGAAAGGTTTTTTTTTTTTTTTTAATATATATATATATATCTTTAAGGCAACTTCCGCCCCGCCTCGTGCGGGTACTACTGGTATATTAAAAATAATATATACAGACAGGGAAACCAGCTATGACCAGTCACTACTGAAAACATCTGAAAACCTCGAGGAAAGATAGTCATTCGATGGAGTGCTAAGGAGCTCCTGGGCATATCCTCGCGGATTTTCCTCCACAATGCACCGCTGGACAGATGTCGAATACATTGGATATGCGCGACACCAGCTTCTGATATTTGCCTGAAAAGCACTGGTCAATCACGTTCAAGCTGTTCACATCATGTTGGATCAAAAAACACATCTAAAGAAGGATACGCAGGACACAGTATCATCATGACATTTCAGCGCGAGGGTTAGCTCCATTGAGTGCCATAGTTTTTGTAGTCACGAGATGGCTTGCTGAATAAAATGCACCTCTCATGAGCAGTTTGCGGCTTCCAGAGTATCAAAGCTACAAGGTGTGATATTGAAAATTGTTGAAAGATGCACGCAGCACAGGATGCCTTGCCACGTAGGGCAATTTGGGAGTCCATCGCTGATTTCTCAGCTGGCGTCCAAGGATCCTGCAAAAAGGTGCCAAACGTTGCAGAAGGAAAATACCGAAGCAATGCAGGGCCAAAGCTTCATGACAACGAATTTCAATATCACATGATATCACATGATATCACATGATATCAGGATGCAAACTTGGAGAGCACTTTGCAAAACCTGTGCAGTATGCCCATAACTGAAAGCGAATGCAAGCGGATGGCTTTTCTGGGAGCAAATAGTCTCTTCAAGTCTGACTTATCCGTTCTTGCTTGAGAGCAGCATGCATAGGAAGGAAGATCCATGGACTGCTTCGTCATCTTCGTCTTTGTCTTCGTCTTCTTCTTTTCTTCTTCAAGAAGCTTCTTGGGAAGAAACAAATCGAAGAAGGTCGAGGTACACCACCAGTTTGCACCCTGCCTCTGCACAATTTAACTTCTTGTCGCAAAACATGGGATATTTGTGACAATCAACTTGACTCCTTGGTCAGGAATCAAACGGGAACTGGAAACCTAGTCAGAACTGCTTGCAACATCTTGCAACATTATCATACATTGTCAGTATCATATTCAAGAAATCAAGAGATTGTGTTTGGGAGCAAATCATGGAAACCTTGTACAACATATATCACAAAGTTGAGTCTAGCCAAGAGGATCCATTGTTCCCAATCTGAGTAGCGAAGCCTTTGGAAGTCTTTGGCAGCTCATTCAAGTGGTCCAAGTGGCCCTTCACCCTCCCATGTGGGATTGGAAAGAAGCTGAAAGCGATGCTGAAGAATCTGCTGCATTGACACGGAATCTGCCTCAGCAAACTTGTGACAACATGGCTGCATGAACCGTGCCAGGAACGTTAGCAAAACTGACACTTGGACAAGCAAAGCGGCAAAAAGTGCTTTCAAAAGGTGTGCAGATGCCCCAAGCCTTGTTACACATGTGTACCACTGTACACTTTCTAGAATAAACAATGACATCAAGGGAAACATGAATCATACTGGGCGGACGTTGTTTCTTACCCCAGGCACCCAGAAGTTACCCCATCCCAATGGCACACAGGGTTACCCCAGGCCATCCGGAAGTTACCCCAGGGACCAAATCCTATTGGCACACTAGTACCACACCATCCTTGGTTTGGCAAACAAAATATGTAAAATGTGTCCGTGCCATTGCGAACCACATATTTAATACCATCTCCTTTGGTGATAAAACCATGTTGAAAGTGGGCAACCGCCATTGGCACACACGCATTGACAGCAAAACAGCTGCCTTCCATCCAAATGAGAAAAGTAACCAATTCTGCAGCACACGCCCCGTTTTCTTGTCATGACTCTGGACATGGATCTTCCGCCTGTTTGAACAGTCAGAACAATCATCCGCCGCATGGCACACCCAAGTTTCATGGCATTTCCAACATACAAACTTGGATGTGATCGACGTTACATTCCTATGGTTTCTATCATAAATTCTACCTCATGCCAATCAACCCTTTCATCCACTTCCCCACGGCACACCGCTGATCGGATCGACTTTCTTTTTTCAGGTCATCTTCTTATGCTTTTGGTTTCTTCCGCGCAGCTTCCAGCCCTTTCACAAATCTCTTGATTCTCTGCCCAAAAACCGCGCCTTGCCCAGAAGCAGCAGCTCAAGCAACAACAGCAGCAGCAAACCAAGCAGCAGACCATTGCAAAGCCTTTCCAAAACCTCTCCGGGCTGGGTTTTGACTGGCTGCAATTTTAACGAGGTCCGAACGAGGTGCGAACGAGGTCCGAACGAGGTCCGAAATCAAATTTTGGGAGACTGACTCCCTATAAGTCTCCTGACAAAGTCTTTGGTAGCCGCACGCTTTCGCATTCTTTTCAGAACAGTAAAACTCAAGAGCTTTCAGCGGTAGAGCAGAAGAGGAAACCAAGCCAAGCAGCAGCTGCAGGTAAGAGCAAGGAGACAGAAGAGGAGACAAAGGGCGAGTAAGGGAGACAGAGGGGAGACAAAGGGACGCAAGCTTGGCAAACAAGGCGGCGGTGAGAAATTTGAGCGGGCAGACATAGGAATCCAGTGATAGCCAAAGATATCTAAAGGCTAAAACTGTCTGGGGAAGAGAAAGCAAAGCCATGGGCAGAGGAACCACCAGGCATGGGGCAGCAGGTCAGGATGACCTATGTCTATGTTCGATTGTCTATATTTGAGCCCCAAACTGAAGCAAAACACAACTCAAACACATTTTTACGTATTAAACGTGCTACCAATTTCAAAACTCACAAAAAACCACCTAAACGCCACGACTGCAACGACTTCCTAAAATTTGTCTGCCAACCTAAATCCAGGAAAAGTATATATAATTGCCACGACTTTCATCTTTGGGGGTATAGTGGGTAAACCCACAAAGATATGACAGGTAAGCATCGTGTGCCTATGCGAAGTGCCAAAAAATGCATCAGGAAGTTGAAGTCATAGGCGCTGCCCATGTGGGCCTTTCCCCATAGGCACACCACGATTTGGCACAAGATCTTGTCATCGGCACTTGTTACAACATCGACCCAATAGTTTGTGTAATTATCTGTTTCCCAATGGCACACCTAGTGCCAAATAAGTCGTGCAAAGCATCCCTGACCCAGTGAACCCCTGCGTTGTGTGCCCTGCAATGGACAAACAAACAATAAGACTGTTTATGACTACAAATGGTAGGTTCATGTTGGTGAAATTCAGCGTGCCTATGCGTTTTCTGGTCTTACAATAAGCAATGATCCAATGGAATAATAATACCATATATATCTTTTATACACACTTCCCCACGGCACACCGACCTGAGACAACTTCAGGGGAGACCAGACAAGAAACGACATGAACCCAGTAGTGTATATATATATATACTAGCGAAGGGTTTAAGTCACATCAGTTGGGCAGAAGTCACATCAACCCCATGTAACAGCGAGTTGGAAGAAAGTCACATCAACTGGGCAAAAGTCACATCAAAATATCAAAATCCCAATGGCACACCGGCTTTCAAGGAATGTTGTTATATCTCCAAAAATGAAGAAAACATTGCGCACACTGAGGTATTCACATATGTTTAAACTATGTTTTCAAAGGATATATTTAGGAATCACCATGGCACACGGCCTCCCAGATCTTTAACTTTGTTTCCTAACAAACATAGATTTCCATGTAATAGCTATGGGCAACATCATCATATCAACAACGTTAAAATCTGAAAACCCAGTGGCACACCGCTGTCAACATCCGCTTCCGCTTGAATGTTTCATAAGTTCTGCCTTCTGTAAACATTCCCTCTCTCTGCTGGCGTCTCCCGCCCGTATCTCCCGCCAGCGCCAAACAAGGCGACCGAGACTGTAATTTTCTTTTTCGGCAAAATGTTTGCACCAGCGGCAGCAGCAGCAGGAGGAAGCAGCAGCAGCAGGAGGAGGAGGAGGAAGCAGCAGCAGGAGGAGGAGGAAGCAGCAGCAGCAGGAGGGAGCAGCAGCAGCAGCAGGAGGCAGCAGCAGCAGCAGCAGGAGGAAGCAGCACCAGCAGCAGGCGGAAGCAGCAGCAGGAGGCAGCAGCAGCAGCAGCAGGAGGCAGCAGCAGGAGGCAGCAGCAGGAGGCAGCAGCAGGAGGCAGCAGCAGGAGGCAGCAGCAGCAGCAGCAGCAGCAGAAGGAAGCCGCAGCCGCAGCAGCAGCAGCAGCAGGAGGCAGCAGCAACAGCAGCAGGAGGCAGCAGCAACAGCAGCAGCAACAGCAGCAGCAACAGCAGCAGGAGGCAGCAGCAAGGAGCAGCAAGCAAGCAGCAAGCAAGCAGAAAGCAAGCAGAAAGCAGCAACCAGCGTTTGCCCCGTTGAAAGAATAATGAAACATTATATAAGTTTTATAAACCAACGCAATACAAAAATTGAACTTTTTCTAGGCGCACGGCCCCAAAACAATGAAATCGTCCAATTACTAAAAGTTGTGGTGATGCCAAACTTGAACTTTTTCCAGGCGCACGGCCTCCCGATACAACTTCTACGAGCTGATACGACTTAACGCTAGCGCTAGTAGGGTCAAATAGAATCATGTCAACAAAACATTGCGCACAGCGATGAAAAAGTGTTCGAATCAATAACCCATCAAATAAAGAACTATCAAAATCTATATACGAAACACTGCGCGCACGCAGGTGTGATACGACTTCAGGTCGATTGATACGACTTAAGCCTAGTGGTAGTATGTACATATATAGAGTACCTCTCTGTCTATGTTGTCCATAATCCATGGCCTCTGATGTATGCATGTATCATGATAAATATTTTTTTTGAAATAATGGTTTTCCGCTCTTGACACTTGGTGTACCATCTACCGACCTAGGTTTTCCAAGTTTTCTCTTTCCAAAAGCCTTCGAAAGCTGTTGACACTTTGTTCACGCTTGGTGCACGCCACAGGGCTTCACCCTGTAGCTGTCTGGCAAGAGCTTCCTCCTCACAACGTTGACAATCAGTCATGAAATCCCCAGCAGCACAAACAAATCTAACATGGACATTCATGACATAACTGATATAACGTTGACATTCATGACATTCATGACATTAATTGCGTACATGGACTTTGTCCGATTCTGCTTGACCTTCGCTCCTCAAGCTCTTCTTCTACTGCTGAGAGATTCGCTGCATGATATTCTTCTCCAGCCTGACAACTACCAAAGGCAAGGTTTTGAGAAATTGACATGAAAGCAGAGGAAAGTTGATTGAATACGTGATTACAGTGACATGTATTCAGCCCGCAAGATCGGAGCTCATTGTTTGTCCTCGTTGGGGTTTTCGTTTCATAGCTGCTATAGCTGATCTCGTGGATCTTTGCTTTGTATGACGGGCCTTCACGTGCCGGACGCCGTACTGCAGCAGCTCCTGGGAGATGGGAACAGCGCAGCTCCAGATGGTTTTTTCGTGAATTAGCAGCATAATGATTTTAATGCAGTACAATCCAAGGAAATTTGCGGCGGGCTTGCTATTGCTGAAAGAAACGCCAAAAGCCTCCTGCAGGGATGAGCCCGAGCCCAGGATTTGACGCTCCTATTTGCGTCAAAACGAAATATGATATGATATATTTGAATATCAGTTGACTACGGTGATATATTGTGATGGTGTGGAAATGGCACCCTGTAAGATGATTTGGGATATTTTGGGAATTTTTGGGATGTGTACATCGAGGATGTGGTTCAGCTGATGCTCCAGTCCCCGCGGCTCCTGTTTCATTGACATCATCTCAGTCTCCTCTTGCATCTCCACTTCACTGGTAGAAACAGAAGCATAAACACCTGACCAAGCCAGCGCAGAAGCTTGGAGTAAGTCACGTTAAGATACGTTAAGTAAATGAGTATCCCAGAGTGAAACTAGAGTTAAACCAGAGTGGGACCTTTGCGCACGGCGATGCATCTAGACCGTCAATCTCTTTGTGTTGGATGGCTTTCTTCAGATGTACCAATAGACTCAATAGACATGAAGGATTGAAACAATCTTGTCCAAAAGCGCCTGAACATTCCCACACTCTGCAAAGCTCACAATGGTTTTGATTTCGACCGCCTCGAAATACCAGTATTCACTTGAAGTCTGACAAATTATTTCAAATGATGGTTAGAACCAAAGCTGTTGCTTCGAGATTCTTTCCTCTCTGAACTTGCCTTCAACCAGCGTCAGCAGCACCAAAGCTGCGCGGAGGCATAGCATGGCTTCAACGCTTTCAATTCTCATCTGGTGAAATTTAAATTTCGAAGGTGTGTTCGCGTGATTTCTTCTTTTGAGAGACAGAATGTAGTGCAGTCTGAATGAACAGTCTTCGCTGAATCCTGCAATCTTGCGAAGTTCTTGGGACATCCAGCGATAGCATGTACAGAGTCTCTAGACAGGCTGTGGGATTTCAAAGCACTGTCAAGCTTCAGCCAACATGGCCAATATCGCAATTTCGTAGAGAGGTATGTTCCGCTAGCTGCGGTCTTACAAGTACAAGCCACCTGGTGGCTTTGCTTTCGCACAAGCACAGATTTCTCCTGTTACGATTCATATGCTGCAATGCACACACATCTTCATTCCAGATGCTATCTACCTATCTACCCATCGCTGCCTGCCTACCTACCTACCTACCTACCTACCCATTCTAATCGTTTGAGCTATATAATCTAATTTAATCTATATATCTAATCTATATGATCCAATCTAATCTACTGGAAGTCCGGCCTGGTCTATATTATAATCTATCTATCTAATCCAAGACATTTCAATGTACAGCATTTATCCTCTATTATATCCTCTATTATATCCTCGATTATATCCTCTATTATATCCACCTTATGCTCATATCTACACATGCACAAATGCTGACCTCTGAACTCCACGATTCCTTTTCTTCTGGCGCTTTTCGGACATCATCCAAATTTGGACGACAGTCACTTGAAAATGTATCATTCTTGCGCCAAATTGGCCCATGGGTCCACAGTGGAAAATAACAAAACACAACGAGTGCTGTTTTGGACAACTTGTACGAGGGCTGTTTTAGACCTGCCGCGCTGGACCCAGACTTTCCACATACATATTTGCGCTGGGTGCTGCCTCTTTGCCACTCAAATCATTTCTGCTATGCCATATGACCCATATGATTTGGCCATGGGGCTCTGGGGCACTACATCTTTAACCGTCTACTGGTTTTTTGAAACTATCTGATGTCATTGAGCTGTAGGCATCTTTCATCCTCGGAGGCTTGTGGAGCTGGGGCGTTGCAATCCCAGCCATTGAGAAAGAGCTGAGGACTAGGTAAGAAATATTTGGTAAACAAATGCATCAATTCATCTACTCAGATAGCTGGTAAATGGCAAGCACAAACATTGGACTTTGGATGGAGATACAAATGGCATCAAATAGCCAGAGATATAGTATAGCAATAGCATGCCCGCATATGTCTCAAGCAAGGACACACCTGCCTCTGCGGAAGGAAGTGGTTTGCCTCTGGGTCGGAATCCTGCAAAACATGATATCAGGTCAAGTCACCAGAAATGAGATTGTAGTCTCTAAATAAACTCAAAATTCTTGATGACGTAAAATGTTGCTTTGATTGAGACGCAGGACGCACAAGAAAGTGAATGAGGACCTGAGCTTCCTGAATCTTATTGTACTTTTTTTGGTCAGGCAAACATAAAATTCAATATCCCAAGCCCAGCATAGCTGAAAGCCTACAGGTTCAGCAAATTCTTTTACCGTCTTTGCACCATGTCAACATTGACTACAGTGACCACACAAGGACCACACAAGGACAGCCTGGAACAGCCTGGGACAACCTTAGCTCCAAGGCCTGGCCTCCTCCTTGTCCTCTGCGGGCATGAGCCATAGAAGCATGCGATTGTTTTCTCTGAAACCTCGCAATCAATCGATCTCAATCGATCTCAATCACGCTCGTGAACTCATGTTGAACTCATGTTGAACGCATGTTGAACTCATGTTGAACTCATACTAAAGTCATGTTACAAAGTTCACTGCCATGCCTTTTACACGACAGTTTTTCAATTGTTGTCATGCTTCCTTCTCAACTTTCCTGTGACAAGTTCACTCATTTCATCTTGAAAGGAGCTTGAACGGCTTATATCTTGGAGTAAATGCACTACGCTCACTCCGCTCGTTTCTGAAGCATTTAACCTTGATTCAGTTCGAGTCTACCTTTCATGCTGTAGACTTGGCCAGGCTGCTCGTTTCTTCACGATCGCTTTCCTCCAAAGAGCCAAACGGGTCTGATAGAATCGGGACACGTGAACCCTGTTGATTCGAGTCTTGTGCCTCTTGTGCCGAAAATCAAATAGATCAAACATGCACGCAACTATACCACTGGATACCAGAAAGGGCTAGACTTTATGGCGACTGTTTGTTGTCAGCTCCATTCTGATTCTTATACTGTATAGTGTATATGTGTATATATATATAATAAAATATAATAATAATATAGCTTAATCATATTTAATCATGCTGCAGACTGTCTAGCTGTGGAGTGCCGAAGCCTACATGCCCAAAACAATGGACAATACAACAAACGGAAGCCGCTAGGCCTACTGGAAACGTACTGCTAGTATCTGCTGGTCCATTCAATACATTGACTTCAATATGTTAAGTGATGTTAATTGGATCCTTGCAACCTTCCACCACACTCTCCTGATTCATGGATGTACACGTTTTCGCAGTACCAAACCTCATCTAGAACTTCCTGCCAGATCTGGCTGGCACCTTCAGTTAGGCGAAGAATGGTAAAGCATTGTAAAATCTGGTAAAACTCTCCATACAGGCAACAGAATCATTCGACCAATGTCCAACTCTCAGTACCTCCTTGCGACGTTTCAGCTCAATCGCGTAGCAGTAGATGATTGTGTCGAAGACCTAGCATTTCCAGGTCTTGCAGCAGTACTTGTCAGATCACAAATCGCTACAAATAAAAAACGAATCAGGCGGGAATTCAAATATCTCACTCTGATATACTCCGTTGACAGTTGCAGTTCGAAGACTTTTTTGGCCTTTCAGTGGTGACCCTGTTTTCAAGTGTTTCCAGATCTGCTAGATGTTTTTCGCAACATTCCCTAACAAACACCAACCAAACACGCGCTTACTTTGCATCCATTTCAAAGATGTTCAAAGATGTTAAAAGCCCTTTGTACCCTTCGGTGCTGTGCAAGCTGTTCTAAGGCACACACGATGTCAAATCCCACCATGATGTTGCGACCTTGGCGGCATCTTCAGAAACAGCATCAGAACCAAGCATTTCAAGTAGCAAATTCATTGTCGTTTAGAGTGCAGCATGATCTGTTGGGATCTGCTGGGTGTATATCAAAGAAAAGAAACATAAATTCTATGCAAATTCTGCGTGTGGCTGTGGCTGTTACATTTCTACTGATGGCATTGTGTCCAAAACTTAGATTTATCATGATGTATTCCAGTTTGTGGCCATATTTACAGGGACTATCACTATCAACCATGTAAGGGAATGGAGTACCCTACAAGGTGGTGCTCCATAATTAGCTAAGTTGGTTTATAACTACAATAACCAGGGCCTGTGGTATAAACAAAATATTGCTAAAGAAAGTCACATGAACTGACAGTTGTAAGTTGTAAGCCAAATTGAGTCAAATTGGGTTCGGAACATGCACTACATGTCAAGCGCTTTTAACGGGTCCCTAAATTCAATCAATCCGTTGTTGCGCTTTTCACCTGTGTTCCACGCTCTGGAGCCGCTATCGATGATCGTTGAACAGTTGTAGGCTAGAAGTGGAGGGTCAACGGCGACGATCCATTGCGAAAGGCTGCAGTTCGCCATGGTGCAAGTACTTGCAATCATTGTCGTCCTCGCTGTCGCAGTAGTAGCAGTAATTTTGCTCAGTAAACATACAATGCAGGTTGCGCGTCTGGTGGCAGCGAACTGGGTCTGGACTGGCAGCAGTCAGCTTATAGATGAGAAAGTATCGATTTTGTGTTCACGTCTGGATCTGGCCAGGTCGCATCTGGGAAAAGAGTACAACAAGAGGTCAGGGCAGGACCTCTAAGAGTGACCACAATCCGTCCAGGGAGAACCATGCTTGGCAACTATCTGAAGACTACCCATGGGATTTTCCACTACAAAGTGCCTGCTGGCGCTGTCTGACCCTAAAGCCTTCAATCTTTTCCTTTATCAGCGCTATCAGATTCCGAGAGGCTGCCAAGACCGCATCTGAGTTGTGTTTCTGTGGTTCTTTTGCCAATTAGCTCCAGGGAAAATAATCAGCCAAACTGCTTCTGGTCATTCCTGCATGAAGATGAATAATTCTGGTAAATCAACCGAACATATGTGGATGATAAGGGTTCTAGGATGTTCTGAAATGTCTTAAATAGGTGTTAGCCAGTCCAACTCCAGGAGTGGGGTTTGCCAAAAAAGTGGCTCTGGGTTTGCATAGCTTGGGCCAAGTGACTCCGTCATACTGCATCTAAGTCTATTTGAAGCTCTTTAGACGATGAGAACTGACAGTTAAGCTGACTGTATGCTATGTATATATATATATATACCTATATATATATATACGTATATATATATAATTATAATCGATGCTGATTGCTTTTAGTACATTCCACCTCAGTACTGTAGAATCTCATTGCTCTGTCCCACAAAACAGATTTTGGACTGGCAACAGAGACAAGCAGCTCCATAGAGATTTGAATGGTTCTGAATGTAAGCGAATGCAAATGGGTAATCCGCTGGGGCTGTTGACCATCTTGGCACTCGTGACCAGAATCCTTTCTTGGTGACCCGTGCTGGTTGGTTGTTTCTGGTTTGATCAGTTTTATCTGCAGCTCATGCCAGGACCTTTTCAAACGGGACGCCCCAAGCTGGCTATGCTGCAGCAGGTGCTGAAGCGATTTGTGGTGCTCTCTCTCTCTCTCTGTGTCTGTTTCTCTAAAAGGATCATGGATGCTGGATGGTTTTGCTGAATCATTTCACTAAACACCACAGGCACACGTACAATTTTCTCCACCAGGGCTTACACAGAATGATACAAGCACAGCCTCCACATCCCAGAAATGCCAACAATTGCGCACCTGTGTGAATTTCACGACTTGCCTTCTTGAATGCTAGGGCACAGTGCTGCAAGGTGTTGCAACTTTGAGATCTTTCAGAATGATTTGGAAGACTTCAAAACGATTCGAACATGTTCAAGCTTCGAGAATGCCCTTGGCATCTTATGACATCCCACGACCTGTGAGGTG